CACGTGCCTGGACATGCTTGGTGTCCTTCCAGCTAAAGATAACCCATCGGCCCCCCAAACCCGCATTGAAGGGACCTTGGCCAATGTTGTTGGTTGCTATGCAGCAACGATATTGGCCATTAGACACCACTAATGTGGGGTTGGAGATGGAAGGGGGATGTGCAAGTGACTGGCCATAAAGTGCTCTACACTAGCGTTGCAGGTTTGCCCGTCGGCAGTGCTTGATCACCGCACATCTCTGTGATGAGGGACTGATACAGACCTTGCTCTCGCACCACTACTGTGGTGCAAACCTGCCCTGAGGGCTGGGAGAGATCCAGGTTTGGTTGGTGTTCCCCCGTACTATACATAGAGTAGCGAGAGGATGACAAGTGAGATAGATAATGAGGAAAATATATAAAGAGGAGATCGAGACAAGTGCAATCAGACTTGACTCAAACACACTCTTCATGCATGTAAACAGCGATACAGCAAACTGGCAACATGCGCCCACACAGTACTCAGAGATATCGCAACCAGATAAGAGTTCTTTAGTAATTGGCTATGGCGGCTGTGCGCCCAATCAACTCACTGTTCACACTCTGGATCACCCTGGATGTCCCGCGCACATCACTCTGAACACTCACACACTACACACACGCTGCACTCTATACTAAGCTATGRCAGCTATGGCTGCCRCTACCTATCGCTATGGCTACCCTGCTTCACTCTCGCCCACTTCGTCTTCGGGCCTCCAGCAGACCTCCTTGCACAAGACGCTGAAGCAGCGCTTCCGCATGGCTTCCGCATGAATGAATGAATGGCTGGGCGCMGCCTCTTGATTTATACTTCTGTGAAGCGTTGGTCTGCCCTGTACCCCTTGGCCCACGATGTGCACAGTCCCAGACGGTACTTGCTTGACTGGACCGGACTGGGTAGACTGGGACTGCTGACTGTACGAGGTGGACTRCCACCACTTGACCACTTGCCTYTGCCTAACGTAGKCTGACYCCGAAAGGCCACTTCTAGAACTCTCTGTYTTGGCCTTTCGGTACTGTAGCAGCTACGACTTTGCCCTTTCAGGTAAGTAGCAGCTACGACCTTGACCCTTCAGGCAGTCTACAGTTACGACCTCTGAACTGCCTAGACTCCCACTCGATAGGTCTACTGTTCGAATCCCTTCTACCCCGTGACCTACGAGATCCTACCTACCACTGGCGGTCCTACAGGTCGCAGGTTCAAATCTACAGGTTGACACTCGTACTGTACACAGGTAAGATGGGGAACTAGGGATCGAGCCCTGGGATCTGCATCAGCTACTGCGAACTGGTGAATACCGTTTCACTCCCGCCGGCCTAAATTCAAGGCCCTCCGAGAAAATTTCAATCCAAGCAAGTAGTGCTTCTAGTGTTCTAACGCTTGCCTGAGAGCGTAGAGTTCCCTCTCATAGGTAGATGTCGCGACCTTCTCTGAAGGCATTCTGGCGAACATGAACTCTACGGGCCTATAACCATGGCCATCGTCCTGCTGCAACATAGCACCTATGCCGTACTGGCTAGCATCCGTAGTGACGACAAAGGGTAAGGACGGATCGGCTACCTTAAGGACTGGATATTCTATCAATGCCTGTTTTAACTTCTTCATAGCAGACGTACAGTCCTTATCCCACTTCCAGATAGTCTCTTTCCTGAGCAATCTGCGAAGGGGCGCAGCGACGGTGGAGAAGTTTCTCACGAACTTCCTATAGTAGTTTGCTAGGCCTAAGAACGACCGCAATTCTGTCAACGTACGCGGTGTCGGCCAATCTCTAATCGCTGCGATCTTGCTATCCTCTGGCTTGACACCGTCTCCGTCTAGGACGTGGCCTAAATATAAAACTTGGGTCTTCGCCCAATCGCACTTCTTCGCATTGATCTTGAAGTTAGCTTCCCTCAGCTTCTCCAAGACCTGCCTGAGATGACCCTGATGCTCTTCGAGGGTCTTGCTAAACACTAAGATGTCGTCTAAGTAAACTATGACGAATCTGTCTAACCATGGCCTAAACAAGTCATTCATACACCGCTAGAAAGTTGTTGGCGCATTGGTTAGTCCAAAGGGCATCACTATAAACTCATAATGCCCGTACCTAGTCCGGAAAGTTGTCTTGTACTGGTCATCAGGATGAACCTCTATCTGATGGTATCCGAACTTCAAATCTATCTTAGAGAAATACTTGGCCCCCTGCACTCGATCTAAGAGATCGTCTATCCTCGGCAGTGGCTCAACATTCTTCACTGTAATAGCGTTTAGACCTCTATAGTCTATACACATCCTCAACTCTCCCTCCTTCTTGGGGACAAACAGAACAGGTGCTCCAAACGTAGACGAACTGGGCCTAATCCAGCCCTTCTCAAGGAGTTCGTCTAACTGCTTGCGAAACTCCTCTAACTCCCGCGGGGACATCCTATACACTACGCCCTTAGGAGTTCTACTGCCAGGCTCTATCTCAGTACGAAGCTGGATGGGCCACGACACTGTTCCTGTTGGCGGCTCAGCTAAGTCCTTAAACTCTTCCAGCAACTTGGCAATAGCAGGGTCTATGGGCTTCTCTTCCTTAGGCCCAGTGACTGGCCTAACATAGGCCACGAAAACCTGTTCCTCTAGCTGCTCCTTTTTCACTACTCGTGCAAAGGCAGGAGCACTAAGGCAGCAATGTGCCAAGGAGTTATCCACTCCTGACATATGGAACAGGCGGACAGTCTTAACACCGCCTGATGGGCTAGGGAGCCTACACTCATGCTCTCTCAAATGGAGTGTGGCCCCGGCTGCCTCTCCCCAGTCCATACCTAGGACTATGTCAAATGGGAGGCTATCCTCTACGAGGATAGTCAGGGAATGGAGAACTTTCTCCACTTTCCCATCCTGCTCTAGGTGGAAGTACGCCTGGATTCCCTCTACGTAATCCTCTACTCGCATCGCGCGATTGTCCGCGAGGATACTGACTACAGGGTCTGCTAATTTTTGGACCTTCAATTGCAACTTTAACTTTTGCAGTGCCTTTCTACTGATGTGACTAAGGGTGGCTCCACTATCAACTAGGGCGCCTACCCTACCTCTAAAAATCTCTGTATCTACAAATATTAGCTGCCCTTTGCACTGGCCCTGATCCAATCGTTGTTGCCATAAGCTCTAGTCCAGACCCAAAGTTTCCCAAGGCCTACCCTGCGGTAGCCCTGGGTGCCATCCTCCTACCCTGTAGGGAGACCTGTTCCTAGGACGGTTTTGCGGGGGACCTTGACCCCTGCCTCCCGCTTGGCGGTTTCCTCCCCTGCCGCCAACCCCCTGATCGCCCTGAAAACGGCTCCCTGAGGCCCGGCCCCCTTGGCCCTGGCCTCGTCCTCCTCCTTGCGACCTCCCTCCAGCCGCGGCAGCAGCGTAAGTCCTCCCCTGGCCCACACCGCTGTCCTCCTCCTCTAACCCCCACTCAATCTGATCATAGGGGATCTCATCCACACTACCCTCATCTAAATTTAGGACAAGAATATCCTTAGTCTTCACTTGCCCTGAGATAGTGCGGCCCTTCCATTGCTTTCCCTTGTCCAAGTCCTTGTGCCAGAAGGCGGACACAGACATAGACTTGGCTTCAAAAGCCACCACTTCGCGACTAAGGGAATCGTAAGTAGTGGCAGGGTCTTCGCTCTTTGCGAAGAAATGCCCTCGGAAGGCTTCGGGCATAGCCCGATAGAAGAGGCCGACCAACTGGGTGTCTGTAACCCCGTGGTCAGGTACCGCCACTAATTCGTCCATTGTGCTCTTGAGTGCTCTGGCACTCTTCCACTTACGAGCATGGATCGTCTGCAGCCTATCTGAGGCTTTGACACTGCGAGCAACGTCGGCAAATCGCTCGCGCAGCAGCTTCAAGAAATCAGCGAGGAGAGTGAACGAGGAGTACGCAACTGGATCGTCATTGCAGTTGGCGGCACGAACAAGGGACCTTGCGAAGCTGGCGGCCTCATCCTTAAGCGCGTGGATCGCAATCAAGACTTGCTGATCCGAGGAGACCTGTTGCAAATGCACGTAGGTCTTGACATTGGCCTCCTAATTGTCAAAGTTCTCTTCCCTTTTTCAACTGTAGGAATCAGGGAATTTGACTTTGACCGGCTCCAGGCGAGGGCGTGCTTCCTCCTCCTTGGGAGCTGCCGCTTTGACGCCTTCGATGGCGCCAACACAGAACCGCTCCGTCTTCTCGAGGCGATGACCCACCTCGGTGCCTACAGCGCCTACCAGCTCGCGCGCAAAGTCCCGGAATCCCAGCCGTATGGAACGCACGGCTATATGTTGACTCCTACTGAAGTCATATTGCTCTGCCTGGATTCGTGCTAAGCGTGCAACGTTTTATGCTATGACTTCCATTTTCTTTAGGAGTTCAGTCTGGGCGGCTAATTGCTCTTCTATCTTTTGTACCTCCTCCAATTCTTTCGCCGCCTCAGCTGCCGCATCAACTCTCCTCTTCTTCTCCCTCATCACTTCCAGTTTCCACTCCATCCTTTTCTCGTCTTCCAACGCTTGCCGCTTTATGACATCTTTTTCTGCTTCCCATGCTCTCATAGCGGCTTCCTGGTCATCCTTGGATATATACATTGGCAACCCACTCCGAGATGTGTTTCTCCATCTCAGCATCCCTGCTGCCACTGTACTGCCCCCTCTTCCGCTGCAGTGGCGTCTCATCTTCCTCCTCTTCCTCTTCCACCTCTTTCAGCTTCTCCTCTTCTTCCTTCTTTATTTTTTCCTTCTCTCTGGCCATCTCCTCCTCAATCTTTCTCAACTTGGCCGCCTGCTCCTCCTGTAGGGCCTTCTTCTTGGCCTCTTTCTTCTCTTTTCTTTCTCTCAGAATGGCGGCCATCTTCTCCTCCTCCTCCTTCGTGTACGGCTGGGTTGAACCTCCACCCCGGGTTTCTACTCTACTCGTCATCGCGTGCCAGAACCCCAGAGGAAAAAGGAGACGCCAGAGGGTCCCCCAGAGGGAGAACCCAACGAGCAACCCATACATCGGATAGTCATCCATCGTGGTGTCAAGTGCACGACAAGGGTCCCACTCCTTACCACTTAGACCTACCCGGACACTGACTCACTGACTGACTCTCTAAGGACCACAGGGTAAGACCCTGTCAACTATGGTCACTAACCCAAGACTACTCTAAGGTTGTCACTTCTGAACTAAGTGCTGATCTGGAGGCATTTAAGGAGATCCCCCGTAACTCCTCAAGAATTCTTTAACGTCGAAGTCAGGACGACGTGATCAGCTTGGTTCTTCCTGGCGATTTCAGCCCACAACTCAGCCGTTCCGGCCTACTGTGCCACACCGAGCAGCCCGTCGATCTGTACCAGTCCTTGGAAGGGTTCGTATCCCTCGGGACAGTCGAGTCGTCAGACACAGATCATCAGCCTTACTAGGTCCGGTAGGGGAGTGGTTCAACCAAGCCTCAACACTTAAAGACGACCTTCGTTTCAGCCTACAGCTCGGAGTTCGGACCCTCTACACTGAAACTGAGTAGACCTGTCGGACAGTACCGGTCATTGGGCTAGACGAGTTGTTTAACGAGCGCTCGCCGCTCATGCCCAGGTCTCCAAATGCCAGAGTAGAGATTAGTCCTACTAAGTCCCGTGCAGGTTTGGCAGCAAGGCCCTATCCTTCATCCACAGAGTCCTAACACCTAGGACAAAAGAGACTCAATGCAGAAAGAGTAGACAGACAAACTCAACAAGTACCGTGGCGTAGGTGCACATCCACAGGGTAAGGGGATAGGCTAAGGGCTCAATGAGATATCACCAGCTCCAGCTTGGTCAAAATCTTGGTCAGCAGCTCCGGTCAACACCTTGGTCAACGCTGAGTCAACGCGGACAACCCCCAGTCAACGCTTGGTCAACACCCTTGGTCAACGCCTGGTCAACCCTCTGGTCAACCCATCACCTCGGCTATGGCTGCCGGCACCTTCACCTTCGTCACCCTCGCCACTTACTTCCCCTTCCTTCACTCTTCTTCTTCTTCACTTTCTCTTTTTTTTTTTTTTTTTTTTTTTACACCCCCGGCTATGTCCGTCTTCTTCTCCAATATCCTCCTTCCACACTTCTCTTTCTCTCTCCTTCGGTCCCTCCTTCTCTGTCCTCCCTGTCTCTCTCCTTCGATACCCTGTGATGATACTCCGCGGCTATGGCCGCTATCTTTCTTCTCCACCGGACTACACAACTCGCCTCACAGGTAAGTGACAACCAATCTTGGATCGCTCATCTCTCTCTCTCTCTCTCTCTCTCTCTCTCCCGCCGTAGCGGTATCTTCAGCGCAGCAGGTAAGAAACCAATCTTGTATCACTCATC